CTAATGGATGATTTCCATGCACTTGGGGAAATGTTACTTAAACACATTTTGTGGTTATATTTATAGGTATGTGTTCTCTTCCGTTCTCTATATGTGTTTCCTTCCACTAATATCACACTCTCTTAGTTACTATGGCTACACAGTAAGCGTGAATATTGAATGGAGTGGGTTCTTTTGCCTTGTTCTTCTTATGTTGAAGCACTTTATTTTAGGTTCTGTCCTCATATACATACTATTACAATTTTTTTTAGTTTACAGAAAGTCTCGCTGATGTTTTGATAGCAATTGCATTAAATCTATAGATTGTTTGGAGTAATAACATCATTATTATGTTGAATCCCCTAATCTATGAATTATCTCTCTTGATTTATTTTAATGTTTTTACAAAATTAGCATTTTAGATATTCTTTGATTACTTCTTATTAGACTTTTGTAATTCTTAGGTCAGATTCAGAACATGGGTTTTGTGTGTGTGTGTGTGTGTGTGTGTGTGTGTGTGTGTGAGAGAGAGAGAGAGAGAGAGAGAGAGAGAGAGAGAGAGAGAGTTTGCTATATGCACATGTGTTATGTGCATATACACATAAGTGGAGGCCAGAAGAAGGTATAAGCTGCCATGCTCTATCAATCTTCACCTTATATTCTTGATATAGGGTCTCTCTTTGAAGCCTAGACATGCTTGTGGTCAGCAAGCTGCACTTACCTTGCTGTCTCTTTTCTGTAGCTATGGGATCACAGGCATTTATGGATATGTCCATCTCTTTATGTGGGTGTTGGGATCCAATCTCAAATCCCCATGTTTGCATAACAAGTGCTTTCACCAGCTGAACCAACCATCTCGCCAGTACTCAGAATATGTTTTGCTTGATCTGTATGCAATTATTTCAATTATAAATGGTCTTGCATTTTTTATTAAAAATATATTCTTCTCTCACACAATACATCTTGACCACAGTTTTCCCTCCCTCCACTTTTCCCAGATCCCCCCACCTCCCATCTCCACCACATCCATTCCCCCTCCATTTCCCTTCAGAAAGGAGCAGGCCTCCAAGAGACAACAGCCAAACATGACAAAACAAGATACAATAAGACAAGACAAAAGCTCTCATCTCGAGGCTGGATAATGCAACCCTGTAGGAGGAAAAGAGTCCCTAGAGCAGGTAAAAGAGTCAGAGAAACACCTGCTCCCACTGTTAGAGGAGTCCCACCAAAACATCAAGCTAACAGCCATAGCATGTATGTAGAGGACCTGGTACAGATCCATGCAGACCCTGTGAGCCCATATGAGCCCTGCTTAGTTGATTTCCAAGTTCTCCTGGTATCCTTCATCCTCTCTGGCTCCTACAGTCTTTCCTCCCCCTCTTCTGCAGGGTTCCCTGAGATCTGAGTGGAGGGACACAATGGAGACCTCCAATCTAGACTCTCTCTGCATAATGTCTGGCTGTGGGTCTGCTCCCATCTGCTGCCAGAGGAAGTGTTTCTGATGATGACTGGACAAGTGACTGATCTATGAGTACAGCAAAATATCGTTAGGAGTCATTTCATTGATCCCCTGTGCCCCCAGCTTCACTCAGTTGTGTTTGGTTCTATCCTAGGTCTCTGGGCTATCTATCCCGTCTCTGGTTCCTGGCCATCCAATCAGTGCAGGGCATGGGCTCCCTCTGGTGGCACAGGCCTCTAGTTAAACCAAACATTGGTTGGCCACTCCCACAAGTTCTGTGTTAGCATTGCCCTAGCAGATTCTGTAGTCAGGAAAGACTGTAGATGGATGGTTTTGTGACTGGGTTGGTGTCCAGGTTTCTCTTTCAGAAGCCTTCAGAGGACTTTCCCACATCAAAGAGACTATAGAAGAGCTGTGTAGGTGTTGTCCTTAGCAATGGGACTCCGTTATCAGTTTCTGGAGAGAGACCCTTTGTCCTAACATTAGTCTGGGTTGTTTAGGGATCTCCATGGGAACACCTCGGCCAAAAACTCGACTGAATGCAGCCCAGTCCCACAACTGGGAGCCTTGCCTGGCTGTAAAGGATGGCCAGTTCAGACTCTGTATCCTCCATTACTAGGAGCCCTCACTAGGATCACCCTCATAGATTCCAGGACGTTTCCACTGCACTAGGTTTCCCTTCTAATGTCCCCCCAATTGTAGTGTCTCTCCCTGTGCTCTCTCCCCCCACCCCTCCCCACCACCGGGCCTCTCCCTCCTCTATTCCCACCTGCCCCCAGTCCACCGGCAAAAATCTATTCGATTTCCCCTTCCTAGGGAGATGCACCCCACCAGTAGGCCTCCTCTTTACCTAACCTCTCTGGGTCTGTGGACTGTAGCTTGATTATCATTTACTTAACACCTAATATACACTTGCAAGGAATACATAACTGGTCTTTTATTTTAAATTATGGTTTCCAGGTGTTCGTTATTTGTACTTAGAAATATGGTTGAGTTTTTGCTGTTGCTATTCGTAGTGTATCCCTTGAGCCTTGATGAACTCAGTGAGTTTTAAAAAGTTAACTTTGATTATTGAGATCACCTTAGATCAAGGAAAAGAAAATCATTAATCCACGGGAGCTTTCCCCACGACTGTTATTTTGCCTTCTATTATCAATAATTCACTTTTCCTATTTTTAAACTTTATCCAAATAGAATCATAAATGTTTACATGATTTAAAACAAATTTTCTCTATCAATATTGCAAGATTCACTTCGTTATTTTTTGTGATAGTTTTTTGGAGTTGCTATATACTACAGTACAAATAGAGTACAGTTTGTCCTTTCTATTGATGGAGGTTTGCATTATTTCCTATCTTTAGCACAGATAAAGTTGGCGTGTACACACACACATATTTTTTTCTATCACTTATGTTACTTATTTCTGTATGGATTTCAGTTCTACAAGAAGGACAGAAAACTTCAAAAGGCCAGAAATTGGAGACTATAATATTCCTTATTACACTTACAACCTATGATATGGATTACACATATTGCTTCTGTCAGTTGATTGGTGTTCAATACTTTAAAATTATTTAGTGAGGCTGTAACAGTCACTCTAATATATTGTTGGTTATGTATCTACAGTTATTTCTCCAAAAAGTGTTTTGGTCATTTTTATAGTGATGATTACATCTCACACTTCTTTGCCTGCACACAGTGGTGTGTTTTGTACCCTGAACAGAGTGCTTACTTGATAAATATTTGCTCCTTGAGTGATGGAGGGTATGCTCTGAATTAATGAGGTATTACTGTGATTCCAGCTGATGGCTGCACAGATGACTGAGTTGACTTTGGCCTCATTATTGCAGCTGTATAGGCATGGCCTGTGTTGATTTATGGAACTCTCCTTAATGTCCTGAGGAATCCTGAATATATGAGGCTCATTTATGTCACGTCACAGAATCCTACATGATGAAATGGAAATTGTGTTAGCCATTGTTAGGTTTAATCATTCTATCAATATTTATTTTGGAAATTAGATAACCACAAATGAGACAAAGAATGAGTCGGTTTACAGAGGAAATAATTGGCCAGGGGACTCAAAGATTCGTATTCAAAAGATTCATGCAGCTTCTCCACCTATAAGCGGCAGCTTTGACATCCAAGCTTATGGACATACCCTGAAAGGTATATTTGAAGTGTTCAGAATTACTGGAGATATATTAAAGTTGTTCAAATACACATCTATGCATTGGATATTAAATGTTAACTATTCTTGATAATTGCTGTGTATAGTTATGTTACATTCAAATATCTAAATAAAGGATACATAATAATACATATCATATTAAAGTCAGTAATTAATAGCATTTTTGTCTCTGACTATTCTTTTGGTAATTTAAGAAAGAATGCACCCATCTAAAGTTAGTATTATAAGTTATAGACATTTTTATTTGAAAATATAAATAATAAATTCTTGAGTCCTTTTTCTGGAGGTGGTTGAAATTACGACCTTATATAGAGTTATGGCCTTATATGATACATACATTGAAAGAGATCATTACTGTGATATCCAGAAATGTTATAATATTAAAATATTTATAAAATGGGATTGGAATAGGATTTTTTTTGTTTTTCTTTTTCTTTTTTTTTCAAGACAGGGTTTCTGTGTGTAGCTTTGCACCTTTTCTGGATCTTGCTCCATAGAACAGGCTGGCCTCGAACTCACAAAGATCTGCCTGCCTCTGCCTCCCAAGTGCTGGGATTAAAGGCGTGCACCACCACCGCCCGGCAAATCTTTTTTTGTTTTGTTTTTTGTTTTTTGAAGACAGGGTTTCTCTGTGTAGTTTTGGTGCCTGTCTTGGATCTCACTCTGTAGACCAGGCTGGCCTCTAACAGATTTTTAAATATGATCTTAATTAAATCATCTATACCTGTGCTATCCAAAATGGTATCTACTATCACACGTGTCCACTGAAAACTCTGACTGTAATAAGCACCATATGTAGAAATAAACAACATTTATGTATGGCTTCATACTTGTTTAGTTTTAGTTTTGGTACATGTTTAGTTTCGCTTTGTAAAATACTACAACTAGTACCAGAAAAATGTTAATCTATGTCTGAGCATCACAGTCTTTATCCAACTTACAGCGAGTGTTAATTTAAACAAAAGTAATATGTGTTTGGTACATTTACTTTTAGTAGCACTTTTTACATGACTTATATAGTTAAAGTTGTCAATAGCATGAAATAAGATTGCAGAACAAATGACATTTGGGTGATTTCTTCACTGCCTTAGTATATATAACTGTTTTAATTTCCAAAATTTCTCTTACATTCATGATTTATAGATTATCCATAAAGCAAACTGACATTCAAATAAAAGTTTTGGGTTTGTTTGTTTGTTTCGAGACAGGGTTTCTCTGTGTTGTTTTGGTGCCTGTCCTAGATCTTGCTCTGTAGACAAGGCTGGCCTGGAACTCAAAGAGATCTGCCTGACTCTGCCTCCCGAGTGCTGGGATTAAAGGCGTGAGCCACAACCGCCCGGCAAATAAAAGTTCTTTAAACCAAGACAACACTGAGATGCATTACTCGTTTAATTTTATTTCTCATTAATACACATGAGATAAAAGCTCTGAATTTCTCTTTGACCGGAGTGGAAGAGGTGTGTGATTGACAAGTGATACTTTCGATACACAGTACTTTGAGGAGCGCTCAGTTTGTGAGTCTTTGCTCTCTCTGTGGTGCAGGCATCCCCGCTGCCGTGTCAGCCTCAGACTTGCAGCTTGCCCTGCAGAGCCTGGAAGAAATAGGACAAGTCTCAGTAAACAGAGAGGGAACCTGTGCTGGATACTCATGGACCATCAAGTGGAAAAGCCCCTGTGGAAAGCAGCCGCTTCTGCAGGTCCCTTCATGAGTGCAACTTTTATCTCCTCATCTCTGCTCTTTGCTAATTTGCACTCTTTCTTAGAATCCTAAAAAGAACCGGGGACTGTGGATTTTTCAAAAGCAAACCATAAACTGATTTTATTTGGTTTTTGTTTTGTTTTGATTTTGTTTTTGACATAGGGTCTCACTATGTAGCCTTGACTGGCCTGGTACTTGCTATGTAGACGGGGCTAGCACTGAACTGATAGAAATCTGCCTGCCTCTGCCTCCCAGGTGCTGGGATTAAATCTGTGTGCCACTGCACCGGGATCATAAACAGGCAGGTGTTCTTTTTTACGGAGAATAGTTGTTGGTGTTTTAAATCCCTGTGAGAAGCCTCTTGATGGTATACGGCAGGGCCAATCTCACAGATAAATTCAGCTGTTAATTAAGAGAGAACAGAAGAACAATTAGCCTCATCACTTGTAATTCCTCCTCTGCAGCTGTATTCCATGGAAAACTTGTTATTGTAAAGATGACCTCTTCAAGTCAAATCTAAAGCTGTCCTCTATTTGACACTGTTATATTTTGAACACCAGAGAGGAAGAAGGGTGAATGCCGGCATGTGTGAAGGAGATTAGTGTAGAAGAACTGGGGATACCATAGGGTCTAAAAGCAGAACAAGTCTTCTACAGACAGTGATAAAGCAGGATACTCTGGTATTTGTGTTTACAGGGCATGCACACCTTCACACACACACACACACACACACACACACACACACACACACACACACACACACGACATACAGGTAAACAAAAGCATAAATCAGACACACACACACAGAGAAGGATGATGCTTTTTAGTGATGATAAAGATACGAGCTAGCACTTCCTTTCATACCTGTTGGTTAGAATGTAAAGGAGGCCAAATGTTTTGAGGATTATGTGGTACTATCTTAATATAGCTTTCTGTGATTTGGCAATCTGTTATATAATTCCATCTTATTGAAATAATTATACAAATGTGAAATGGTATAAGCAGAAAGGTAGTCACCACTGCATCATTTCTCACCACAAAACTCTCAATACCTAAATCTTTTCTATGGGAGAATGATTGTTGAAATGTCAGAACCCTCAATGACAGCTGTGTAGTCACATGTCAGACCCACATATATTCACCGGGAAAGATGCTTCGACATAAGGTGGAGAAAGTGCAGAGCCCTACTCAGGAAATATTTGAATGAGGAGATAGGAAAGTAGGAGAAAAAAAAACACACAGAAGCGTGTAACCATAAAATTCACCTGGATACGCAGACTATAACAGTTACAAGGACACAGAGATTATTTTACATGCACATGCTTGGAACTAGAAGTCTACAATTCTCTAATTGAGACCGGCCTCCTCTTGCTAGCTCGCTGTCTCTGGTATCCATCACTCTTTTCTCACCAGTCTCCGCTGCTAATTCATCATTGCTGTCCATCATCACTAGCTCATGCAGAGTCCATCATGGAGGCATCTGTCTGTGCTGGTGCCTGTATATATCAGAAGGTGGCCATACCGGAATAAAGACTTTGAAATGACCAGACTGTGCATATGGACATAATTTGGCTTTATTTTTATGACTAGAAGACAATATAATTTAAGAATGAGACACCAAGATAGCCAGAGATGAAAAATGCTAAAGGGGCAAAAATAACTCAACTTTTTAACTATTTACTAACAATTTACCAAAGTAGCCATATTGAGAAAGAGCAGAGAATATTTTAAGATAAAAAAAATTAAATTAATTTGTCTTGTTTAGTTCATTAATATTTTAATTAATGCAATATATTATTATGCAATAGTCTTACCATTTTTCTTTGAATTGATTATTGTTACTCTGGAAAAGTTTTTTTTTTTTTTCGAAACAACCATAACTAAACTTTTAATTTTTTTCATCCTTAAGCTTTTATTTTCTCCAGCCATGCTGCTTAAATTGGTTATATTCTCCATTGCTACTTTAAGTAAATTTATTTTGTGTAAAAATAGATTAATGATTCCAACATTATTGGAGAGAAGGCTAACGTGACAGTTACTACAGTAAAGGAAGGTGGCTTATTCAGACAACGTATACCTGGAGACATGCTCCGCACCCCCAGTCATCAACCACAGGTATTTTTCAAGCTTTTCCTATAATATTTATAACTTCAACTGTATAACTAATTTACACTAACGTACCAATGACCTTGTAAAATAGGAGCGTTAACAACTTGAGTTTCATGTGAATATTTTTGTTAACAGTTGACCAACTAACTCATTATTATTCTCCAACTTTTGGGGAAATTATCTTTCTAATGATGAAAGACTTTTTAAAATCTATCACTGACAGAATTAGTAAAATATTATTTTATTTAACCTTTATATATTTACATCAGATAATTGTTGATGTTGCCACTTTAGTGATGAGAATATTAAAATATAGAGAGTGTAGATGAGTTTCCTTAAAGCAACCTCTATTTTTCTTCATAGCACGAATTAAAACAATGCCTTCATGATTTAACTTATGTAACTTTCTAGCCTAGATTTACTATGATTAACTGTTTCCTTTCATGTATTTATTATATTCCTATTTACAACTACATCAGAAGCCTAATGGTGCATTTGCTGTACAAACGAATAGATGAATGAATGGATACATGAATGAATGAAATGTCAAAGCAGAAAGTATAAACACATTTTTCGCAGACAATGTTCTATTTGTTCTAAATCCTGTGCATAAAGACGTGCTTTCAAGGATGATTGCTATACTTCATTACTAAATTTTGTGCATATTGTACTGAGCTCTCCTGTCTCTCTATCCTTGTTCACTTTTTTGGTCTATGTTTCTTGACTTGAAGGTTGAAGTCTATGTCAATGGAATTCCAGCTAAATGTTCAGGGGACTGTGGCTTTACATGGGATCCCATGGCTACTCCCCTGATTTTGACAACAACACCTTCTGAAGGTAACACCTGCTTTTAAACTTGAAATACGAGGTGGAGGATAGCTAGAAAAATGTGTTCTGTGATCATGATTTTTAAATATATATTACTGTCACTAAGGCAGGCAAACAGTTCAATATGGTGAAAACTATTTGCTAGCTGAAACTATGGAAAGAATACTCATTACTTGAAAAAAATACCACCCAGGAAGCCAACATATAAGTCATTTATCTTCCTATTCTTTACTTTCAAAGTTAGAATCAGTCTCTATAATTTCCCTGTGAGTTTGAGACACTGTTCTTCTACTCTTCCAGTGTATGTATTAACATTCATTGTATGAGAACACTTCCAGCAGAGCCAGCAAACAGGCAAGCAACAAGATAGCTGTGATTTAACAAAAGAAGAGAATTGAGTATTCACTTTGAGAAAACCAAATGATTAATGCCAAGAACTCATCTCCACTTAGGGGAAGCATTATTATTGGGGAAAAATGTAATTGTGCTTTTTGTGTGAGCTCCTAAAAATTCAAATAAGCATCAGGGATAAGGACTGTAAGGAGTAAGTTTTTAACCATAATGATAAATTCAGAAATCATAATCTTATATTTAGTCTTTGCAGCTGCTAGTAAACTTTATCTGGTTTTTGCCCTTGTATTTGCTAGTGATTTTCCATTTTTGTATGCAGTTCCTAAAAATCACTTTGGGCTCAAAATAATTAACAACTTGAACTACCTTTTATTATATTTGATCAACTTAAAAATAGTGGGAAAATACAATAGAAATCAGCCATTTTTTTCTTCACTGACAATTAACGACTGCTTACTTTTTGTTATACACATTCCAATCACCAGTTTAAAAAAATATTATGAGAAGCCAAAATTCTTTTTAAGTATCATTCCTACTCCTAGTCTTCAGAGCTCCCTGAGGCAACTACAGTAATAGACTTTGTGTGTTTTCTTTCATACTTTTTTAATGCCTTTGGTATTTAACATACATATATAGTAATTTTGGGTTGTGTGTGTGTGTGTGTGTGTGTGTGTGTGTGTGTGTGTGTGTGTGTGTGTAGTGTAGGTGATAGGTCAGCCTTGGGTGTCATTTCTCAGGGCCTGTCTACTTTGTTTTTATCTATAATTAGAATATTTTAATAATACATAATAATAGGCTTCATTATGACATTTTCATACATGTATATATTTTGATCATATTCACCCTCCATTTCCTTCTCTTCTCTCCTCTCCTTTCCTCCTCCAGCTGATCACCTTCCTCTTTCCAGTACCTTCTCCCAACTTCCCCTTCCTCTGCCTTCAAGGTCCATCTCCTCTCCCCACGTCCTCTGCAAGTGAAAAGTGTCACTTGTAGTTTATTTTTTCCTCCACGGTTTCATGATGGCTTGCTGCCCTATCAACTTGCTTGTCATTAGAATACATTTTCCTTTTCTTATCTAATTCCATATATCAATGAAATAATTTTCTGATATATATTAATGCATAAAATATGTTATCAATACAGAGAAATTATGTGGAAAATATCATCACCAAATAAATGTGTCTTTTCCCCTTGCTTAATTTCAGGCTTATTGTTTATATCTTATAGAAGATAGGCATAGTTTTGCTTAAGAAATATCTGATTTTTATAATAATAGGTTCTAATTTCTTTATCAAAAATGTAGTGACTTAAATTTATCACTTTCAGGGTCCTATGCAGAAAACACGATATTAACTATATCGGGCTCTGGATTTTCTCCCACATCAGCTGTATCTGTCTCTGTTGGGTCTACCAGTTGCTCTCTTCTTACTGTGGATGGTAGGTTCTTTTAAATGTCACAGATTTCTCCAAGAGAATTGGAAGAAAGAGCTATTATAAATATAATATGTCTTCTAGTATATACAGAGTAATGAAATTAGCAACCTAGTCTGGAAAACTATATATATAATACTATATATATAATATATAATATATATCACAATCAAAGAATATATATATATTAAAAGAATATATAATCACAGACTGATTGTTATACAGTGTCTTTATCCCACTAAGAATGACCTGCCATACATTTATTCAGATATACCTTACAAACTGAATGCACAAGATTTCTCATACTTTGATGTATATCTGAGACACAAAAAATGTTCAAAGTATGACTTTGTTGTCCCATGGTTTCTAGCCATGTTTGTTGTTGCTGTTTGTTTTTGTATGTACTGATGATTGAACCCAGGACCTCAGACATGTTAGGTAAGTGCTCTACCACTGAACTATATTACCAACCCTCTGTCTTAGCTATGACAATGCTATAAGGCAAGAGGACATGACTATATTCTTTGACTTCTAGTTCCATAGGACCGCTTTCCAGTTATGCAGAATTTAAATATTGTTTACATTTTTAGCTTCTTGACATTAGTGGAAACACAGTTACTTAATTTCACCAAAAGTTATCATTCACAATCCTAGATATTTTTCTTAATTAAATCAGATTTAATTCCCATGAGCAAGACCACTTACCAAATCATTTCTGTTGATTTTTATTGAAAAGTGTTTTTGAGGTCATATAGCCAATATTTTAACAATATTACCTAAACTGTAGTAAATAAAGTGAAGAAATGCTTTCACTTAGTTTTATCACTTTTATTGATAGAACCTGTTATTTTACTCAATTTTGGACATAAGTAATACGTTGAGCCAAAAATTTAGTAAAAATTTTTAGTATAAATTTGAATTAAAAATTAGAATGATAAAAATTTTTATGTGCACCTTGTCTGGGCAATGTTTTGAGACATGCTTTCATTGTTGGTTCACTGTTCCTAGAAGCAACTAATTTACAGCAGCGAGTAGTTTGCAAAGATTCTACCTTCCCACTAAGACTTCCCTGTCCCAATCAAAACATGAGTAGTTTACCTTGGATATATTTCTTGGAGTCTAAAAACAAATGCCAATGTTAATATTTGCAAATTAATTTTACTGAGGGTTTTTTTAATCTTAAAAACCCTGCCACGTGTATTTTATCATTTTCCTCTTCTTTTTATCACAAGATAATGAGATCAAGTGCCAGATTCTGAATGGAAGTGCTGGACATGTACCAGTTGCTGTGTCCATTGCTGATGTTGGACTAGCACAGAATCTAGAGAGTGAGGGATCCCACTTCATTTATCGGAGTCAGATCTCACATGTCTGGCCTGATTCTGGAAGCCTGGCAGGTAATAGCTAACAGTTCTCAACTGAGGTGACCACATACATTTCCACAACTGGGTTTTCAGTGTTTTATTTCTAGTGCCAGGAAAATGGCATGGACCCTAAGGTTCCCTCATAGGACCAAGGACAGTGTCCTTTCGAAAGGCACAGAGATTAAATGGCTGGCTAATTCTTTTCTTCCTTATGAGAGGCACAAGTCGGGGACAGCTTATACTTACATCATAGGTTATTGAATTAATATCATCAATTATTACGTGTTTCTATAACAACCTCATTAATTATGTCAAGATAAGATTTATTAGTTATTATTCTGCTTACCAGCTGCTCCATTTGTAACCAGAGTCTCCATGGAGCTACTCGACCTAGAATAAAGTTCTGGGACAAACAGGACAAAGGAAGGCTGACACAGACAATAACACATTTTTCTTGTGCTGTTTCACTTACTTGGTGTTTTTTTAACCATGATTAATATTGGAAATTTGGCTTTGATATTGATTTGCGTGTGTGTGTTTTAATTACTTACTTTTACTTTATTTTCTCTCTTCTACTTTTACTTTATTGTGTTTTTTTCTCTTAGTTTTCCTCTTGCTTAGAGATATTAAAATTTAAGTCTTAATTCACCCTCGTTTCACACATATGAGACAAAGTAAATAGAAATATTGTGACTTCTTTCCAGGTCGGAGTGGTTGATGCTTACATATCCCAAAGCCAATATGAAAAAGCCCATGCAATTGAGAGCTTAGCCGGGCTTGGGGTGGTAACTGTGTGCACGGCTACTTCTTCACCCACGTACCATCCCTCTGGTGTGACTGGGTGATTCAGAAATGATGAGTTAGATGGTGAGGAAATTTCTGTTGTAGTTGAACTGATTTGGGGTTTTATTTTCTTTGTTTTTCTTACAAAGGTGGTACTCTGCTGACTGTAGCTGGATTTGGCTTTAGTGAAAATTCTACTGTTTTGGTTGGAAATGAAACCTGCAATGTGATTGAAGGAGATTTGAATATGATAACCTGCCAAACATCGAAAGTAAGGCCTCTGATGTCAGCCATCCCTCACCTCCAACAGACCTAACCTTATCAACTAGGAAACATGTACACAGGCAGAGAGACAAATGTTATATTTCTACAAATTTCAGAGTTTTCATGATTATCTGTAAAAACTGTTTCTTCAATACCTTTTAACTAAAATACAAAACCAAAATATTATCTCCACATCTGAGACATTTAAAAATCACAATGAAGATGTTTACACAAAACTACATCAATAAACAATGCATCTCACTTGAAATAATAGAAATAGAAACAAAGTAAAGATGAAATTCAGTGGAAATTGGAGATCAGAGTCTTATAAAAGGATTAATGTTATATCAGCACTAGAGGGTCATCAGAAAATTTCTGAATAAACTAAAAGATTAAAAGAACTCACTATTAATTCTTTGTAAATTTCAATGAAACAAATCTAAACGTGTTTAATTTTTAAAAATAAATTTAGCTGGACATTGGTGGTGCACGCCTTTAATCCCAGCACTCAGGAGGCAGAGCCAGGTGGATCTCTGTGAGTTCAAGGCCAGCCTGGACTACCAAGTGAGTTCCAGGAAAGGCGCAAAGCTACACAGAGAAACCCTGTCTTGAAAAATCAAAAATAAATAAATAAAAATAAATTTATTTTATTTGTATTTTTGTATTGAAAACTTACATTTATTACTTTGTGTGCATGCATAAGTGCACACATGCCCGTCATTGCACTCATGTGGAGGTAGGAGGACAAGTTTGCAGAGTCACATCTCTTCCAGGGATCTTCCTGGGATCAAACAGATCAACAGAGTCGTCAGTAAGCACCTTTACCCTTGAGCCATCTAGTTGACCCAGAAAACTATGTTTAAAAGTGATAAAATTTCAATTTGTTAGCAAAAAGTTTGAAGTTTGCTATAGGATATAAGACCTCAGAATCAGCCATTCTTCTTCTTTTTTTTTTTTTTAAATAAATCATCCTTAAAGCTGGGTGATGGTGGTGCATGCCTTTAACCCCAGCACTCCAAAGGCAGAGGCAGGGGAATCTCAGTGAATTTGAGGACAACCTGGTATACAGAGTGAGTTCCAAGGCTATACAGAGAAACTTGAACTCCCCCACCCCAAATTATATTTAAATTTAAATCAGGTCTATGGCTCACCAGTTATGTGCAAAGAGATGATAAATGCAGATGCACTCATTAATCTCAAAACACAACAGAGGAAGAAGGGACATCGGTAAGATGTCTAGGGAAAAAACTCTTTGAGTGTGTATTGGACTGAATGATAGAATAAAAATGTATAGGCTATGACAATATGAAAAACATTTTGTTTAAATCATTCAGCTAAATACAACACGTGCATTAATACAATGCCAGACAATAAAGTCTGCCTGAGAATTCGCACAGATGCCATAGTGAAAGTATGAAGTGCTTTATAGCGTTTAAGCTATATTTTTTAAAGAGTATGAAAGTAGATTAAATATCCAACCTAGTTTGTGAATGAAGTAGGATTATATTGGAATCTATAGCAAGAGAAAAAGGGTTAAAATGGTATCTTATTCTTTATCAGTTGGAGAACCATTTGCCCAGAGCATCTCAGCTGCATTGTGTAGCCCTTAAACTCTAATAACATTTCCCATCATGATCCTGATGCACTTGCTCATAGAATCCCTCTTCTCTCTCTTTGACTGGATTCCTGGAGCTCTGCCTAGTGATTGGCTGTGGATCTCTGCATCTGTATCCATCAGTCATTGGAGAAAAGCTCTGTGATAACAATTAGGGTATTCATCAGTCTGATCCCTGGGGCAAGCCTGATCAGTTCAGGTACCCTCTCCACGATTCTACGAGCAAGTGCATCAGGATCATGATGGGGAAACATGCAGGGACGACCAAACCAAACTAGAGGGAACTCATGAAAGTTGGATCAGTGACTGTGGAAACTACATGGGACTGGACTAGACCCTCTGCATGGTGAAACAGTTGTGTAACTTGATCTGCTTGAGGGGGCCCCTGGTGGTAGGATCAGAATCCATCTCTGGTGCATAAGGGGGCCTTTTGGAGCCCACTACCTATGATGAGACCACTTGTGCAGCCTTGAGTCAGGGGGCAGGGCTTGGACTTGCCTCTTCTGGATGTGCCTCCCTATGGGAGGCCTTCTCTTCTTGTGGATAAGAATGGGGAGTGGTTTTGGAGGGGGAAGCTGGGGGATCGGGAGGAGGGAAGAGGGCAATCTTTGACTGATGTGTAAAATGAATTGAAAAAATTACCTTAATAAAACAAAGGAAAAGCAAAAACAAAAAAAATGGTAATAATATAAATGCAGTTAAATGAATCATAAACCATGCAGGACCATTGATCTTTGTCTTAAGAATTTAATTGCAGAACCTGTGCTTAATATGACAACTTTAACTATCTGAGAACTACCTCTGATTCATGACTGAAATGAAACAACTTCAGAAGTTTATTTACAGTGATTCTCTTTCTTCAGCCACTGAATGTGTGTGTGTGTGTGTGTGTGTGTGTGTGTGTGTGTGTGTGTGTGTGTGTGTGCGCGCGTGCGTGCGCGCGCATGTTTGTGCACAGCCTTGGATGTAGTTCCACAAGAATTGTCCATTGTGTTTTTTTCAGTGTGTCTTACTGGCTAGATGTTGCCAACAAGGCTAGGATGGGAGGTCAAGCCACCACCTCTGGCTTCTTACTGCTTTCTCTCTCTCTCTCTCTCTCTCTCTCTCTCTCTCTCTCTCTCTCTCTCTCTCTCTCTCTCTCTCTTTTATTTAATGTGTGTTCTAGGAATCAAACAGCTCCTCATGCATGCAACACAAACATTGACTGATTATCTTCCCCAGCTAAATGACTGGATTTCAATACCTCATCACTTAAAAGTTTCTATTTTGTTTTTTCCATGCATTCCAGAGAATTGAAGGTACAGTTGATATTTCTGTTATTACCAATGGAATTCAAGCCATAGCAAAGGATAGTTTTAGTTACAACTGCTTACAAACACCAGTTATCACTGATTTCAACCCTAAAGAACGGGCAATTTTGGGTAAGTTCTTCAGTAAGATCAATCATTCATCTTTCTGGGTCTGGGTTACCTCATTCAGTATGGTTATTTCAAGTTCCATCAATTTACCTGAAAATTTCATAATATCCTTTTTCTTCACAGCTGAATAAAACCCATAATGTGTATGTACATTTGCATTGTCCATTCTTGAGTTAATGATCATCTAGGACAGTGACAGCTTCATAAATAGTAGTAGTTTCTGTGTGATCTCAAGCTATTCTTCACTATATCTTTATTGTAGCACCTATCACATTGCTGTAATTTTGAGTCCACAAGTGACTTTTCACACAAATACACAAATAGAAAAAAATCAATCATTTAATGAATATATGGAAACCACTTCCAAAAGTCTTTCAAAGCATAGTCTCTCACCAAGTTTTGCTCCTTACTTTGAAATATGTTCTTTACTTTCCTTTACTTTTAAATACAAATAAGTCAACTTATAATTTTGCTCTGAACATGAACAATGGTGAGAAAGATACTGTATCTTTGCAAAGTACTTAAACACTATTTTCTTTGTGAAACAAATATGCATTTTATGTGTATATGGAATCATGAACTCAATTTTTTGAATTTTGCCTCTGAAAGTTTCAGTGTTTTCTAACTCCAATGAAAGATAAATATGTTGATTTGGTTAATATGCAAGTTTGATGCTGGATAAAAAGTTAAATTTTTGTAAAACAAATTCTATTTTTTTCTTTTAAAACAATAGGAAACATCAATTTAACAATTAAGGGTTATAACTTTGGAAATGAAATCACAGAAAATATGGTGTATGTTGGAGGAAAAGCCTGTCAAGTTCTTCACTCAAACTTCACAGACATTACATGTCTTTTGCCTGAGTTACCTCCAGGAAAACATGACATCTATGTCAAAGTCAGAAATTGGGGCTTTGCATCAACAAGGTATGATACTGATTATAACTGATAGAGTGTGGAATGGTTGGGGCTAATAAAATTGAGATAAAAAAATCATTAAGTTCCAAATATGTTGATTGCTTTCTTTACTTTTTTATAGTTCCTTATAGAAAAGATGCTTTAAAATTCTCATAAAATGCACAATAACACTTTGGTTTTTTAACCGAACGATTTAGAACAGGTTATACAAAATCTCTGTGCGATTCGATTTCTGTATCTGTCATGTGACTTACATTCATCCAGGAAATGTTTTTTAAGCAATTTTGAAAGTGCAGTGGGAGAGCATTTGTTTAATTCTGGATTTGCAATAATTTGCTGCACTAATGGTACTCACAATTTTTTTGGGAGGATTCTCAGCAAAGAATTAAATGAGTACTGTAACAATTATAAATGTGAAAAAATTTATTAATAGTGGATCTTAGTTGTTATAAGAGTGTATAATGGAGGGAACTAGCATCCCATGGGACAGGGCAGGATTCTCTGAGAAGTGACTTAGGTAAGCTGATATCTGGCCATCTAAAGAAAGGAGTGGAGCTAGTCCCTCACTGATTCTACTTCCTGTAGGAATTTTGAATTTTCTTCCCTGAAACTGTTAATGGCATTTTTTTTCTTCTCTGAAACAATTGTTCATTTGGAATACTTTGAAGAAGAGCAAGCTGAATCAATGGCTTTAAAAGAAGGCAAAGAGAGCAGGTGTCAGAATAGAAGGATAAACAATTGCCACAAAATCTTACAGGGACGGAGGGCCAGTAAACCCAAGATTCTAGGGCTGCATTCCTTGGTGGGTTTACGGGGAGGAGCTCACAGAGTTCTTGAGTTAGGAGCTCTTGCTGCTTTTGCAAATGCTCCTCGTTCAGTTCCTAGCACCCATGTTGAGTGACTCACAACTACCTACAACTCCCTGCTCCTGGATGATACAGAGTCAGACACAAACTGTGTATTTAGATGGTTGTTGGAGAAACGGCAATTCAGCACGCTAAAGGAGTTACATAAAGCAACACCAAACTTCATTGGGATCTACAGAGATTGTGTTGTCATGGTGGGACTTAGGACGTAGGATGTATCTAATCAAAAGAACATTGCACAATTTGATGGCATAATATCTATAATAAAACAAAGTAAAAACTGCTTTCCCTGAGATAATGAGAAGGAAAGTCTTGACAAGTTTTCAAAAAGTGGGAAAAATTAAACAGAATCGCACAAAAAAAACTACTTTAATAATGTATGGAATTGTGTTGCTACCTTTTTTACATGTAAATCTGCCTTCATATATTATTATAGTAAAAATGTCAAATACTTTAAAGAATTTCATTTATTTCTTGTGACCTCATTTCTTATAATCATATTTTCTATATTATCTTAAGACTTTTCATCTCACATACTTCTGCTATTAGATTTTTTTAAATTCTAGCTTTCAAAATTAACATATACATTTGACCAAAGTAAATATTATTACCAGATTATCTGGTCTGAAAAATTTATGTCTAATTACATATGTACTCAGTTATTTCCTATTCCCCAAACACTGCGGGCCTGAGGTGAGGAAGCTCTTTGGAAATCTATTCTTTTGTTCTTTTCAGGAACAAGCTAAAGTCTTCCATTCAGTACATTTTGGAAGTTACCCACATGTTTCCACAGAGAGGCTCTTTGTATGGTGGCACTGAAATCACTATAATGGGTTCTGGGTTCAGCACAATACCAACTGAGAATTCCATCCTCTTAGGTAAAACCTTTGTCCTGCAGGGGGCTGTTAAGGTTCTCCTTGATTAAAAGGATCTGCTAGAGGCACTGGGCTGTTACACAAATACTT